ATAATATTGACAACACAAACGGAAACATTCACTTGTGTATTATTTTATTATTATTTTTATGAATGTTTTTTATTTGTGTTGTCAACCTAGTTGTACACTAGGATGACAATGTAGCATTTCTCATTCTTCTAATAACTAAAGGTAACAAATAAACGGTAATACGATAAATAATAATTGCAATATATCTTCGAGACTTAGAGTCGATTAAGATATGCTAATGTGATCTCGTCTACATCACAGAGATTGCAAGGGATTTATTATATAGTGATGATATCGTTTGATGGGAAATTTGTTGAATTTTTTACCAGAAAATTATAAAAAAGTTAAGTTGTGGAAAAAAAAATACACAAACAAATGAGAGTGGACCATAATAAAAAACCCGTATTCATTGAATACGTTTTACCATTTTTTTAATTGTATCGAAAAAAATTCTGAAAAAACGTATTTAAGGAATACGTTTTCTATACAATTTGTACAGAAAACGTATTCCTTAAATACGTCCTTTTCATTTTTGTCCACTCCCTTTTTTTTCTTTTTTTTTGTCCACATGTTTTTTTATTTTTTTTATTGGTAAATTGCTCGAAATTTGTTTGTAACATCTCGAAATATTTGATTTTTTTTATTGCTCCTAAATTATATCTACATAATATATGCCTTGTGAAAATTAAAACTAAAAGTTTGTTTGATAATCACTCTAAAAACTTAAAATAGATTATAGTTTATTTGGTTAGTTTATAAGTTTTTTTTTTCTATTCAAATAAGCTTTGTTTCCTTGGTAGCTTTTTAAATACCCATTATCATACCAACTAATTTTCACTCATAAACCATAACTTCAAAATTCACTTATAAACTATCAACTATTAACTAACTTATCAGCTATCATCTAGATTTATCAAACATAGTCTAAAACAACACAAACAGTTGTTGGTAGATGGCACACATGCATAATTTCGAGCTTTTTTACCTCATGATGAAATGAAAAAAATAAAGTATATATTTGTGTATTTTTGAGGATTAGTTCATGGATAACTAAGGGTGAGATTTGACGTGGATTTGATTGATTTTTTATTATTATTTTTTGTTTAACCATAATTTATTTTAAAAAAAATGGTATGACTAGTTGTTAGTGAGAATATAAGTTTAAATTAAAATGATATTTAAAATAAAATAATTAAGATAGATTTGATGTAAAGTAGAAGAAAAATAATTGGAAGTGGTGGTTAGTTAAAATTATGTGGGTGAATGAATAGTGAATTAAAGTTGATGTGATGTGTAAGAATGATTTGTTGGTATTATTTAATTATATCGATAATATTGACGATAGTAAGATTGAATTAAATTTGAGTTTTGATTGATTTTTACTGGCCAAGTATATATCCAATCACACCCCAACGGCCAACGACTAAGGTTACACATGCATAATATTGTCTTATTATTATTTTTCGATGATTAAAATATTTGATTATCAATCGGGAGGTGTCGATGAAAAGCTCATTAAGGCTAGAGATTTTCATATAAATTTTATAGCTCGACTCGTTAATGTTCGAACTCAATTCTTTAATATGGATAAACAAATTGAAGTCAAACTCGTTTATTGACTGTTTAGTTAACAAGTTGAGCTCGACTCAAATTTTAAAGACTATATAACTCATATTCGAATTCAACAACTGTAAATGGTAATTTTTTACAGTTGGGAAATATATATTTTAATTTATTATATAAAGTGAGTTAATTTTGGAAAAAAAATGATCAAATGAAAGGTTGAGTGAGATTTTAAATATATATTAAAATAATATTTAAAATATAATAATTAATGTAATGTAAAATTATAAAAAAGTGATTAAAAATGATGAACAGTTAAAAACACGTATGTGAATGAATTTGGATTTTTGTTGTTATGCATGAAGATGATTGTTTGATATAATTTAATTATATTGATAAAATGTCTGAGGGTTATGTTTCATTAAAATTGGGATAGATTTATTAAAATAGAGTGAAAAAATTATCCAACCAATCAAAACTGGATAAAATCTATTTCAATCGATCGTAGGATCGAATCTGTCGTTCATTTGGTTGGGAAAAAAAAAAGAAGAATTCAAGAAAAAAAAAACAGTCCTATTTGAAACATTATGAACGGACAGAGACCTTCTGCTAGCCCACAAAGATACACACAAGAAGATTACAAATCCGAAGCTATTTATAAGAGTATCATAAGAGCAGATGAGAAAAATATAACAAAGAGTAACATATTGAATGCTATCACCTTATGAAATACACACACACAGCTGGTAAATCAGTCAACACACAAAGAACCATGCAAGTCAGTTTCATAAAAGTTTTCGAAGGCATTATATTATTTCGTACATATGCCCATGGGGTTTGCATTCTTCACTATCCAAGGATGTTCCAAGATCTTATCAATCGAGAGCCTTTTGGAAGAATCCTTTACAAGAAGCTGCATAAAAGAACCGGCCAATCAGAAGGGCGAAATAGTTCCACGACGATTGCTGTTCATAAGTGAAAAAATGTAAATAAAAAGTGATGATATTAATTCATGAAATTACCCGGCTAATGAGATCTTTAGCTTCGTCAGAAATGCTGGGAGTTGAAGGAAAGCTTAAGTCGACCTTCATAATCCTACATATATCAATGTTTACCCATAAATTAGATTATGATCCAATCATCCAATAACATAATGTTTGAATATATCAAGCCGAGAAAAGGTGCCCATAATTTACCTTTTAAACGTGTCGTTCTGGCTTTCGGCCTCGAAAGGGGGGCAGCCGTATAGAAACTCATAGCACAAAACACCCAAAGTCCAGTTATCCACTGCATTGTCATGGGCCTTGTTCTCTACCATTTCTGGTGCTAAATAGTCCAAAGTCCCACACATAGTATGCCTTTTGCTTCTCGATTGTACGGACCAACCAAAATCCGCAATTTTAAGCCGACCCTATAAGGTTTAACGTAACGAAAGTTATTTCAAAGATAACTCGCGTCTGTACGTGGATTTTAGATTTTAATGAACTAGAATTTCTCACGGATGCAAAAAGATGTGCGTTTTATCACAGCAATGAAGCAATACACAAAACAGGAAATAAACACGCAAACGACCAACAGGATGAAGAAATATAACAGACATGATTCGTGATAATTAGCTCAGCATATCCAATCTTTTACATGCATAACTTCACATTCACCAAACCTTATAGGCAGTTGAGACATATTAAAATATTGGATTTATGACTCTAGCAACAGGCATTACCTCATGATCAAGCAACAAATTTTCCGGCTTGATGTCTCTGTGAATCACATGCTTCTCATGACAGTACGCCAGAGCTCGTGAGAGACTCGAGATGTACTGATTGTCAAGAGCAAAATACATATAATTAAACATTCCAAACTACAAACAAAGGATAAAAGAATTCACTCAACCTGCAACAAAGGGAAAAAAAAAATCGAACAAAGAGCTTACAGTTGCGGATTGTTTTTCCGAGAGGTGCCCCGATTTTCGGAGCTCTCGGTAGAGCTCGCCTCCGTGTGCGTATTCCAAGATCAGAAAAATACGCTCGTCATCGTGAAACCAGCCGTACAGCCTCAGGACGTTCGGGTGGCGGAGGCTCGTCTGGATCTCCATCTCCCGGCGCAGTTGGTGGTGCAATCGGTACTTCTCGATCTGCTCCTTGAATATCACCTTCAACGCAACTATGAACTTGCTCTGCCAACACAATTTCAGATGGAAAATTCAGCATAGGATACGTGGTTGAGTTTTTTGGGTGAGCTCGATTTACCTTAACTTCGCGGGCGAGGTACACTCGGCCGAATTTCCCTTTGCCCAGGGGTTTGCCGACCTCGAAATCGGAGAACGACCATTGCTTATGCGGTGTTTTGGGCGGTTGCTTCGGCGGTTTGGGTGGCTGAGCGGTCATCGGAGGAAATGGAGATTCGATGAGATTGTACAGAGGAATTTGGGGATTTAGGGTTCTGAGATTTTCTATTGAATTAGCAAATGGGAGGGAAATGGAGACATTTGAAATTGCAGATCACCAATGATTTTAAAACCATCGGGTCAAGATTCTACTTTTAAGTTTGAGAGATGCTATGGCCAAATAATTTACATACGGGTTGGCCTGTAAACAAGTCGAGATGTTCTCGAACTTAGGGTGCTCGAGTTCGAGCTCCAACCATTAATGAGTTGAGTCGAGCTCGACTCGTTAAATAAACAAGCTTGAAATTGAGCTTCACTCGTTTATCACTAATAACGAATCGAGTTTGAGCATCAACGAGTCAATCTCAATCTTTAATGAGTCGAATTATATAAAATTCTACTCGACTTATTAACCAAACGAGCTTCGAATGAGCTCGAGTTTGATAAACAAACCAAGTCGAACTCGAGTCGAGCCGAGTCAAGCTTTTTTAATTTAACAGCAATATATACAAGTCAATTAGTCTTTACCATTCATGTATTTTTCAACAATTCCATAACTAGTTGGTGAAAAACGCCAAATTACAGAATTGCAATCTAATGTGGTCCGTCACGTTGATTTCATTTAACCCGGAGTTCGGATGAGTTTGGGTGAATCTTTTGGACCTAGTAACATGAACTCAGTCAAACCCAACAGACTTAAAGTTGACTTGGTCAATCCAAGCATTGGCACGACCAGGTGAACACGGTTTAACTATGTCAATTTATTTTTATATTTTTATTTTAAAAATAAATTATATATATATGTGTCTGTATTATTTTTTTTTATGACAAAAATTCATTTTTATTCACATATAAATTATTTGCTTTTATTGATATTAATGATTAAAAAAAACTAATATACATATAATTTTTAAACTATTAAATTTAATTATTCAGTTCTCTAATTGACCCGTCATTGCTCGGACTGGGTCTAACAACATTGGGCCAAATAGATTTATAATTATTGACTTTGAAAATCTTTATTGTTGGCAGTTGGCAAAGAAAACACGGTGGCCATTAAAGACTTTTGGTTTGGTTATCCAATAAAATTGTGCCAACACAATTTTGAAAATCTTATTTTATGTAAAGAGAAATGCTCACCTACCGACGGTGAGCACATGGTATGCTCACTGTGTAGATAACATGTACTCATTGGTGATGTATTTTTTAAAACATATTAACATCACCAATGAGCGGATGCCACATACGCGGTGGACATATTAACATATGCCCACCGTGGGTGGAGCATTTCTATTTATGTAAATGTTGTTGTTGGATTGAAATGGCCCTTTTGAAAATCCAATTCTTCACTTTTGACTTCTATATTTTGTTATACATAAATTCATATAAATTACCATAACAAAACAAATACTTTCTGTTTATGAGCAACATATTTTCCTTGTTCTATACCAAGAATGAACATCTTTGCTATAGTCTTCTACATTATTGCAGCATCAATTCTGCTGATCATCACACTAATTTCATGCCTATGCCTAAGAATCTTCGTCGGAAAATCGGTCGGCAACCGGAGCTACCCTCCGGTCACGGGAACTGTTTTCGGCCAACTTTTCTACTACAACACGTTGTACGACTACCAAACGCGCCTTGCCCGGAAGCACCGGACCTCCCGACTCCTTGCGCCCGACATAAGCGAAATATACACGACCGAGCCGAAAAACATCGAGTACGTGTTGAAAACGAGCTTCGGCAGCTACACTAAGGGCAGGTACAATCAGGAACTATGGAGTGACCTGTTTGGGAAGGGAATATTAGTGGTCGACGGAGAAAAATGGCGCCAGCAGAGGAAGCTGGCGAGCCTCGAGTTCTCGACTCGTGTCCTCCGAGACTTTAGCTGCTCGGTTTTCAGGAAAAACGCGGCAAGATTGGTTGGGGTCGTTCGCGAATTTTCCAAGGAAGGCCGAGCTTTTGATGTGCAGGTATTTTTTTTTTTTTCCCTTTGAGGTGGAAAAAAAATGTTGACTATAAGGTTTGAAGATCATCAAAAGAAATAAGATGATTAAACAATAATGTTCCCTTTTTTAATGTTATCGTTTTTGTTTGCTTTAGCTGTGATTAGTTAAGAGTATGACTATGATTGGTAAACATAGGTGAGAAGTTATGTTATAACTTTTAAATGAATTTTGAGCTTATAGCCGATAGCTTACTTTTTTTAGTTGAAAATCTAACTTATATAATAAAGGTGTTCCGTATTAACTAATAAGTTAGTTGAAAAAAAATATCAATGACCTTCTTTTTGAAAAGCTATTCAAGGAAGCTTATGAGATAAGTTCGAGCTTTTTAAAAAGCTCGTCTTGCCAAACCAAACTTATTTGAATAGATGAAGCTTATAAGCTAATCAAATAAGCTATAAGATAGCTTATATGCTTACCAAACACAACCGAATTCTTATGTGCCATTTGGTGAGTTTTTTTTTTTTAAAAAAAAATTGTAGGCTTTGCTGATGATGTACACACTGGAGTCCATATTCAAGGTGGGTTTTGGAGTCGGGTTAGAGTGCCTAAACGGGTCGAATGCAGATGGGAATCGATTTATCAAGGCCTTTGACGACTCGAGTGAGTTAGTGTATTGGCGTTATGTCGACCCGTTTTGGAAGATCAAGCGATACTTCAACATCGGTGGGGAAGCCACTTTGAAGAAGAACATCAAGTTTATTCACAATTTTTTGGACAAAGTCATCAAGAGCAAGAGACTAGAATTGGAGAAGGGACAACATTTTGTGAGTACAATGTATATATTATTATGTTCTGTTGGAAATAAATGGCCAATAAACTCAAGACTAACACAACAAATTAATTTTATTATTACAAAATATTACTTAACTTACAATAGTACTCAAGATAATTTTACTCTTTCTCTCAACTCACTTTTCCCACACAACAGCTCACTCTTTTATTTATTTTTATCACTCACAACCACACAAGCACTCACCACTCACAATTTATTAAACTTACAAGAAACTCTCTACTCACTCTATTGTTTTTTTTTTTTTT